AATCCCGAAAGCAAATTTTAATACTATCGGGATTTTATTTTCGGGGTTTTGAGCATCGGAATTTTAAGTATCAGGATAACCCCAAAAATTCCCATTAGAAAATCCGCAATTAATGATGATCATTAGTGACCCTAACTATATGATTTTAATAGGCCGTTGCAGAATATGCAGTTCGGTATATTCAGAGTCGACTGTAGTACGTAAGAAATCGAGAATCTTATTTACAGATTAGTTAATTAGATTTATTTATAATGGATGATCATACGTAGTAATTTGAAAAGCGTACGTACGTATATACAACCACTATAGCTATTTCTCAAAATGTAACCCATTTATAATACAAATCATGTGAAACTACCGGTTAAAAATGTGATGGTAATCCTTTTGTGTTCAAAAAGATATTTAATTACGAGACGATCTGAAATAAATATTTGAATGAACACTATGGTGACATACCATCATAGTAAAGGCGCCAAATAACATTTTGTGATCCTTATCAATTCCGTTACCAAAAACTTCTAATCTTTTTTCAGTCAATCCAAAACTAATGCCCTGTACCTCACAAACACAATAATCAAGAGAATTATTCTTGAACACTTGGCGTCAGTTAATATTATTGGAAATATCACTACACCCATAAAATTTTGATTTGGACAAGATTCACTATCTTTTGCAACCATAACCCTGACCAGTGTCTTAAAAAGTAAATAAAATGACGTTTCTTGAAACTCGATTAAATGAAGACAATATACATATTGTTTTCACGTTAGATCAATTCTCAATATGTTATCTAGGCGTACTATGATATAATCATATCGAAATTCGAAATATATTCGATGTGAATTTTGAAAACATGATAAAGTATAATGAATTGGCGAATGACAATAAGATTTTTGATAAACTTTTAGCCATGAATCTCAATGAATCTCAATAAGTTTGAGAGGGAAAAGGGAATATCGATGAATATTGATGAATATGGTTAAGGGATGTGTGGATTAAGATTTTGTTTGTGAATGTAAACACATTAACAACAACTCATTAGCCGGTAATATATTATGCGATATTTATAAGAAAGCAAAATATTACGAATAACTTTAAACGTGTGACCAAAAAATTTATTTTTATTATTATTATTTTTTTTTTTAATGACAAGTGGTTTTTACGAAAATATCCGTGGGTAATGTGGATAATGAAGCCAAAACCATGTGATGCGAACTTTCCCCAATAATGTAAAGTTTGTATCAATACATTCAATGTATCTAAGTACGTACGCACGTACTTTATTGGTCGGTTATAAGCGATTCATATGAGGTCATTCAATGCTTTTAACGACAAAGGATTTTTTTCAATAACGATAAAAAAAATGGCGTGTGGTACAAACTTAATTCACAGTATCGAGACTGTGAAACAACGCATTGACAGAATGATCAGCAAAGCAAATAATCAAAACTTTAAATCTTGCCGGACAACTCGTAACCAACATACCACGATTTCTAGATAGAACATCTACAAAACTTTTTGGATTATTAATGAGTATATACTTATTTCTGTGGGTGATACGAACACTTACGTTAATGAAATCAAGATTTTTAGTTAGATGTCAAGACCGGGTTATTATTCGAGGTTTTTCTTCGCTTTGCAGGGATAATTTGGGGATTGTATTATAAGATTATTATAAGATTATTATAAGATTATTATAAGATTATTATAAGATTATTATAAGATTATTATAAGATGAAACAGGAATATAACACACATTTATTTTCCATAAATAGGGGATTCAATGCGTCTACGTACGTACTAATTATATAAATCGCGTATGTTGTGTCTCAGATATATATTTTTGCCTCAGGAAACAACCGAAGCACCTCAAATGTTCATTGTTTGGCCGGCATTAACTAATTAACATTATTGTTATTGGCCTAACTAATTAACATATTAACATTATTGTTATTGGCCTAACTAATTAACAACATTGATTGGCCTAACTAATTCTGTAATTAACATTACCATTGGCCACTGCCTACAGTATCCCCCAAAAATAATACCCCCATGATTAAGACCCGGGTATTATTCACCATCCCTACTGGCTTATAAGACCCGAGGGTACAACTATATTGATTTACCACATTTAACGTTAATATGCATTTTAAATATGATATATCCCCAAATATAGTGTACCCGGTTTTTCACACAGTACCCATGGGTATTATTCAATTTTAAAAAATGGAGTTCTTGAATAAGACCCTGGGTACTATAGGCAGTGGCAAACGGTAATTGGCCTAACTAATTAACATTAATTGGCCTAAACCATAATTTAATCTTACCCTAACAATAACCCTAATTTAGGCCAACGCAAGTTGCATTCGAAGTAAGCACAACATATATGCATGCGAATTTTTTTTCACTATAGTATCTGCTATAGGGTGTTTTTAAGATTCATTGTAATAAACTCGTACGTACGCACATACATATGTACAATTAAGTTTATTGATAATCACAAGATTCTCTTGAACTATCGTTTGAGGGAAGGCGTTAATTGTGTAAACAGAAAAACAATGTCACAGTTTACAATTTTGTGTGACTGGATTTTTTGTGCCATGCTAGAATTCATAATAGAATTCAGGAGTATGGACGCTAAGCTTCTGCGAATTATTTATGATAAGAACTGAATCTACTGAATTTAACAGATGCTAAACCTAACTTACCGTTAAACAATACCTTGCACGTGTTTCACACGAATTGCTTGTATACCTATTACGACTTTTTGTTGGTAATGCAAGAAGAAGAAAAACGATCGTTCTTTCAAATAATTAAACCCCATACCGAATACAAATATTATCTAAACGTGGATAGAACAAATATTTGGGTACAATTGCTCTGTCATTTTTGAGATTTTTTTTTTCGCCATTCGTTGCTTGGAATTATTCTATTTGTTGGCTGATTAACTGTGATACTCAAAATAACAAACATTCTAATTGGTTTCTAATTGGTACGCATTAGTCCTTATTGTCTTTACCAATCCTACATCGAAAAAAAAAAGCGAAGAATATTTGTTGACGTGCAATTGACAATCCGCAAATACAAATGTTATTTGTCTTCCCGTATTAAGTAATTTCTTTTTAATGATTCTAATGATTCTTTGCATCAAATGAAATCAGAAATTGCATTGACTATATTTTTGAATGTTCAATACTATATCAATACTATATAGCGTTTCTTGTCACTTATTGGGTATCGATTAAAGTGATTATCGATAATTACCTCCTTATTAGTTCGATACCTTTAATTAATAATATTTTTCCGAAATCCGATGTTTTTAACCATGGCGTAAAGATCGCTATTTGGATGAAGTATATTAATTGCCTGTCTTAAGAAAAGTTCATAGTCTTTATTGTGTCACATACACAAGGCTTTCAATGCAAGTTTGCTTATACCTTCTTATGGTAAAATCCACTAATTAAATAGCGACGCGTTTACCAACTGTCAATAATTATTCTACTTTATGGTATATTTATTAAATGTTTGTACTGATGATGGTGCACAAATGGCGTCAAGATCAAAAGATAAAACAAAAAAAAGTTGATCTGGTAATCAGAATTTCCAGTATATATAAACGGGTTTTTAATTCATACCATTTGAGATTCCTCGCCAAGGAATTTTCGAAGAACAACGGTTCTTCTTTAAAAACTCGTTTTTTACCTCCTTTTTCGTCTCATCCCTACTAATTATGGGAATATGGAGGTCGATGATCAATTATGATTATTTTATGTGAGTTTACTTTCTTTTTTTTTTTTTTTTGTTTTTTTTGTTATATAAAATTCATTTATCTTTGATTTGATATATATTTGATATTTAGTATAGAAAAGGATTGTTGGAATAAATTATGAATTTATTGTAACGATAATTCAGAATTCCGTCATAAGCAAGCCACCTGATACCGCGAAGTGCATACACACACTTAACAAGAGATAATATACTGCTAGTCGGATATTATCAATTGTCTCTCATGTGATCAAGTTTGTTTATAAAAAATTCGTTTTTGGCATTACGAAGAAACGGCGGGATGGCGTTAATACGCCCAATCCTTTCAAAGGCAAAATTTCTCTGTTCGATGACGAAGGCAACGGTCTCGCTATTCAAAATTTAGTAATTCGTTCGATCTTTTTTTTTTTTTTATTATCAATTCGCGGGGTTTTTTCCTGTTTATTCGGCAAATTCAATTTAATTCAGATAATGCAAAGAAAAAAAAAAATTATGAATTATGAATTGATTTTTTTGTTGTTTGATTAGAACTCATTATGGAAATAAAGTACCACGTGCCATGCATTATACAATCACGACAAGTGATTGGTTAAGAAAAATGTAAAATCGAAATCTATTATCACGACAAGTGATTGGTTAAGAAAAATGTAAAATCGAATTCTATTATCACTACGCATCTTTTCATTAACATTCACAAGAAATAATACTCGAAATGTTATCTTTTAACACTTAT